GCAGTAATACCATGCTCTGATAAATATTTCTGCAAATCATGTTCCTTCAGCGAAGCAAAGTAACTACACGCCATTTGTAAACAAAGGAGGAATGTCTGGTGTCACGTGATCGAGGATAATGTAATAAAGGAAACCAACGCCGGAGTTGGGTATTGGAAAACGGACTATTGAATATCAAAAGCTAAGAAAACAACATCAAACATCTGCTGTACAATAATATTCCAGGGCCTTTAACAATAACTTTATTACTATATCTTTTTGAAAAGTTCAATTTTCGACACCTGCAGTACATTATTGTACAAGGACCTCAAACAATGACTTTATATTAATGTATTTCGAATTATTCATTTTGAAAAACATTAATTTTCGACATCTGCAGTACAAAAATATACCAGGGGCCTTTATCAGTGATACATTTTATATCATTGTATCATTCATTCTGAAAACCTATATTTTCGACGTCTGCAGAACAAAAATGTACATGTACCAGGGCCTTAAACATTGACTTTAATTTATAATATTTGGTAATTTGAAAACTTTAATTTTCGAAATATGCAGAACAATAATGTATCAGGGCTTGAAACAATGGCTATATTTAAATACATTTTGGAAAATTCATTTTAAAAACTTTAATTCTCAACATCTGTGGTACAAAAGTGCACCAGGGTCTTAAACAGCGGCTTTATCTAAATATATTTTGGATAACACATTTTCAACACATCATTTTTTTTTACATTTGAAGTACTGTAGTGTACCAAGGCCATAATTAAAACAATGACTTTATTTAAATATATTTTTGAAAAATCATTTTGAAAACTTTAATTTTTGACATCTGCAGTACAATAGTGTAGTAAGTGTACCAGGGCCATAAACAACGAATGAGGGATCCGTTTTATACATCTGCAGTACCAAGGTACTAGATCACATAACTCCTATATGTGCAATAGGACCCACATCAATGAACATCTACCAATGACACACTGCCTTATATCTTGCTTCCAGTACTTACATGTATAATTATAACGACATATTGATAATATCTTATTTCTTATACTGGAAGTAAGAACCTGATCAAACCAAATACAATGTTTAAACTTCTGAGAATGTACATACATGTAGATTCAAACACATCTTGCACTCCAATATATCTGTGAAATATTCATGAGCTGAAACTTTGTCTTTATACACGAAACTCCAAAACAAAGCCGATGTCCAACTTTGAACAATTAATGCCCTTATACCCCAGCACCTACTGTGCTAGCAACTGAATCTACCAAATGAATATTCTTTCTCTTTGTATAATCTTTAGTTCTTTTTCACAAAAAATTCGGATATACGATGAACAAATTTTCAACCATATCTTCTTACATGTAATTGAAATCTTAAATAAAACGTACCCTCCCATAATGTTTGTAAAACAATTTTTATATAGAAATATCTTTCAAACAACCTATACAAACGTTACCCATAATGACATCATTATTTTCTGACGACTATCAGAAATCTAAGATTATTCTGAAAGAAATATAACAATATTTGTATTTTGTATTCTTCAGGGATGGAAGCTTGGAATGATTCTGAATTCCACCTGATACCCGACCATTTTAAATCTTGCACTGTACTGAAAATTTGAAATCTTACCTCGTCTAAGGATAAGTTGTTAATTGAAATTCAAAATTCTCTGACACCACTCTTCAAATGACTCTCACATTTCAATGCCATCGTATCTAAAATCAAAGTAACACTTCTTTTTCCTGTTTTTTGTTACACTCAAATGTATTTTTTAACATAACCTAAATTAATAACATCTTCAATGCTTTCTGAAATAATCAAAAAGTTCTGTAGAGCAGATATTTTTTTAATACTAATTCTTAATGGGCAATTTGCTAAATGAATATAAAGCAGTTTATATTTCAGAATATTTTCCCGGAAACCATAATGATTTCACAAGCTTTTATTCATTTATCTTAAGACCCATTTGAATATTCTATTGATAAAATCTTGCTGTTCAATCATTATCTTATAAAACATATCTACTGATAATATATACTTATCAATTTCACTTCAAATGGATTGGAGTTTATACCACTGATGTATCGATTGTTGATGGTGCCAACTCTGGCCGTCTGGAAGCACTTGTAGCATAAGTTCCTGGACTGAGGTGTTGCAATGTAAGCGCTGAATTCGAAAGCAACAAGGGGAAAAGGTTTACCATAGGATTAGAAACAAAGCAATTTTACTCTCTTTACTAGAAATCATTATAATAATACTTTCATGCTGTCTCCACCCTGCTGGGGAACTGTCTGTAATTCTAATATACCGATGTCTTGTTTAAAGTTTTTTTAAAAAACTTTTTTAACAATGGTATCTCATGAACTTTGTTATTATAAATATATAATCCATTGAGTTTATATCAAGTAGCTCTTAATAATTCCTTGTTAAACAAATATTGTACCTTGTTATCATCGTATTTCAGTTAACCGCTACGTTTTCAGGTGTAAATAGCAGCAGGGATGCAAATGAATTAAATGTTGACTGTGAGTTCTCTGATACTAGTAACAAAGGAATTCATCCATGTGTTTCGTCAGTCATAGGAATATACCGCTCATAATCCATGGGGACACTGTATTAAAACGTCTGACTGCACTGCGAAAGAGCCTTCGAATGGCATTTAAATCTTACACACGCTCAAGCGTGCATGCTTTAACAAAATACCTGTAGAATAGGTATTCTATAAAAACTTTAACCAATCAGACCGACACTCTTACCGGTCACGGTAGCCTAGTGGTAGAGCGTTCGCTTCGTGATCGGGAGGCCAGGGTTCGATTCTCGTTCGCGACGCCACGTCACACCTAAGACGTAAACATATGTAGTGACTGTTCCTTCGCCAAGCGCTCTGCACTGGAAGTGAAAGTCACGGGTCTTTCGGATATGACCTTAAAAACGTAGGTCCCTTGTCACAGTAGGCGCTGTCACGATAAGGAACCCTCATGCTCAATGGCCCTGAGTGCCGAGTATAGGTCTAAGTATGAAGCCCTTCACCGGCATACGGGGACGTCTCCATATGAGTGAAAAGTTCTCGAAAAGAACGATAAACAATATACATGTACAATCAATCAATAAGACCGACACTCTTCATATACAGGTACACAAAATAAAGACGTGTCCGATTGATACAACAAAGACAAGCAAGCTACTAGGGTCGTTCAAAAAGTACCCGGACTGTGCTATTGTTTACTCTTACATACGTCAAAATATGTATCTTAAAGATTCCAATAATTTTTTGGCAAAATTCCTGTATTTTAAAAAATTCTAATAAAATTATATATATATGTTGATATCGTTGATGGAGAGGTACGAAGCACAACAAAAAATGTGAAGCAAAAGCACGCGGAATCCAAAATTTAACTCATTAATTTTCTATAATATTTTTATATACTTTTCGATAAGTATACTTTTCGACAATTGTGAGGTACTCTTGGGAAATTGTTGAGAAAATGAAAGCTCAAACACATATTTTTTTTTATAATTTCCGTGACGTCGAAGACTTTGCTGCTCCGTGACTTACTGATATGTTCTGAAAAAAAAAATCAAAATCGATACCAATTTACAACATTTTATATGAAATTTTGAAGACCATTTAAGGAAAAATTCTTTTGTATTATATGTACAGCAACATTTTGTTCGATTATGTCGTCAAGTATTTTTCTGTGCAACAAGTTTGCGTAATTTTTGAACGGCCCTCGTATATATGGTTGTGTAGATAAATTATCGTAGATGACATAGATATAAACAGTTTGCCACGGAAAGTGTAAATGAGCGCGATTCTGAGGGAGGGGGTATTCCGTGTAATGTGGAGTTAGATACCTTGTGTTATTATTATACTACGGATTAAAAATTTATTTCCGAAACAAGTGCCTGTGATCATGACTCATAAATATTTTTTTTTGATCAGTAAAGCTTACATTGATGCTACAACGCAAACATACACATGATATGTATGCACAGTCTTTTTTATTTAATTCCACTTGTGATTAGATACATGTATATATGTATCTTTATATTGTTTTACATATTTTAACCAAGCCTCTGTTTATTTTTTTGTATAAATGATAAAATTGAAAGAATTTATTCTCGGCTTTTTGTCCCCCGCTTGAAAAGTGGGCGATATTAATTTGGGTCTGTCCGTTTGTCTGTCCGTCCGTCCGTCTTTCTGTCTGTCTGTAACGCTTTCGTTTCCACACGATATCTCGAGAACCCTATGAGCTTTTGCAATGAAATTTAATATAACAACTCCCTGTGGCCTAAGAAAGACCCCTATTTTTTTTTACTTCAAAAGGTCAAAGTTCAAGGTCGTAAATTTATACATTCTGTCTGTGTGTAACACTATCATTTCCGGACGATATTTCAAGAAGATTTTGAGCTTATGTAATGTAATTTTATACCAAAACTCCCTAGGACCACTCTCATCCCTCTCAAAGTGCCCCGCCTAGTTTTACTAGTATTTAACGTATTACCTGTCGCTATTTTTAGCACTGGGGCATGCGGAGAGTTATTACGTATAAAACAGGTTCTCGACGGACTTTATAGTCTTATTACATCTATTAGAACTGTTTAATAAAGGTTAAATTAGACACCATGCATTGTGTTAAATTTTGACAAAACCAAACATGAATATATACATGTATGTGACTTCACTTCTGCATATAACTTTTCTTTTTTTTTTTAAATGATAGTATTCAGCATGTGAAAAGAATATTTTATGAGTTTATAAAATCATCATTACTGTGTGATATATATTCAGTATAAAAAGAATCGTCTATACACATAATAAAGAATAAGCAATTAAATTTTTATACGCATATTGACATACATGTATTTTATTTGCTTCAGTATACATGTATATACATTTAATAATTCTACAAATTCAGTCAGGTGGATCCGACTTTTTCCCTAAGCGGGGGACACGAATTCTCTGAATTAACTTGTTTATATTTCAGTGAATGTTTCAAAAAATCTCCTAAAAGACAGTGAAGATAAAAAAGCAAAATTATTAACGGATCTAAGAAAAGAAGGGGAGGCTGTTCATTACAGAGGAAGATCACAAAAAAGTGTAGATCACGTGACGTGGCTCTGGAAATCAACCAGACCTGACATCGTGAGATCCTGTATAGGTCTACATCAACACAATGATATTTACATCATAGACAACAAAGCTTACAAGAAAACAAGTAAGAAAAAAGATATTTAGTTTTTCTCGGTGATAGTCGATATCAAACCTGTGGTTTAGAATGAAGACTCAGAGAAGAAAAATAATAAAGATATTTTAATTTAGAGATTTGTTACACAGCTTGTAGAGGTATTTTTTAATGATAATAACATATAGTTATAACGAAAGAAACTGGGGATAAGCCGAACTTTATCCCTTCATAATGAAATATGAAAAGAAAATCAAGAACTTTATGGCTCACGAATGTCAATTTAAACTCAACTGAACAGTAGATTTAATTTAATAACTCTGATCAGAACTTGTCCGTTGTATGTCGTTATTGCCATTGTTGTCAACATTTTCAGTTCCGGAATTTTTGGTAATTATCAACTTTTCATTTCCGATATTTTTTTGTTTTCATTTCGGAAATTTTTCAAATACATAATTATGTAGTGACAGATTTGATAACTTTATTTGTGAAAAATTTAAAGGAATAGATCACAAATAAATCACTGAATTTCAATTTTGTAAATTTATCAGTGACTCGGACATAAGTATGGTGCTGTCACTGACACATAATTTAGTGCACATTAAATGTGGTGAGAAAGTTTTATTCATTAAACTCTTTTATATGGACTTAGTGCAACATGTATGCATATATGTATAGTTTATTTTTTTAAATAATTTTTTTTTTGGTATAAATACTTTAAAATTCCATTTTCATTTACTTAGTGAACATTTGATTGCCACACAGATAAATTCCGGAAATTAAAAAAAAAAGTTGTGTCAGAAATGAAAACAAAAAAATGTCGGAAATACTATGCATTTTTCCGGAAATGAAATGCAGCGGATCTTCTTTATAACAAATATATCTTTCTCCCCAGAACTACTGGACCAATTTAACCCATTGTATCCATGGATAAATAGGATTCAAGTTTGTTCAAACGAAAGGGCCACGCATTAATTCTCCGAAGGTCAGATAATTCTGAATAAGTTAAAATTTAATTCCATCTTTTAACTCCCTTCCCCTTTCCCCAAAGAACAGAAAAAATAATGCTTATCTGGAGGCAGTAGAAACCAAAACCTCGCCACTATCGTTATTTATTGTGTATATAAACATGTAATGCTTGCATATTATTAATATGTAAAACTATACAAAAATTATTAATATTTTACATAGAAACTACCGAATATCGAATAAAATTTTCTATCCATGTAAGATATACTAGAAAAAAACAAGTGCCTACTAAGTTATTCAGATTAACCTCGGTTTTCATGATAACCCAATTGATAAAATCCATTATCAAATTAGCACCAAATCCGATCACACAAATCTAATAGAAGACAAAATCCCTAGTAAAATGATTTTAAAAGTGAATACGAGACAGGATACGAAACAATCAATATCCGTGTTTATACATGTATTCACTTTAGAATTTATAAATTTTAAATGTAGGGAGAGAATTGTAAAATGTTATGAAATGGAATTTAATGACTAGTTTTAAATGGGTTTCTGCCAGTACATAAGTTAATCCGTTTTAATGAAACTAATTTTCTTTGTTTTCTTCATTAGGTAAATACCATACCTTTTCGCCAGAAGTCAGAAATTTGCTGTATTGCTTACTGTTGACAGAGAAATATCAGCTGAACCTAGATGAACAATCACAAAACATTACAAAAAACAAAATAAGAGCTAAGTATTGCCCTGGTTATACTGAAGACGGCTTGATAGAGCTTCCTGATGGAATCACGGAAACACATAACGGTGTGATAACGTTTATATCAGACGACATCAGACATGACGTCATGTACACCTTTGTGACGGAGTGTCTGGTGGAGGACAGTGATCTGGAGTTTTTCCTGACCTCGGCGTCACGTGACGTGATCTCAGAATACTGCCGGTCCTGGGATTATGAGAGGAGTGAGGGAGAGAGATGTTTGTATGTACCGGACGAGCTGGAGAAGATGTACGACCTCTTCATAGACAAACTACAGTTGGACATCATTACACACTGTACCATGTCTGACAGGGGGATTCATGACAGTATCAGTAAACTTTGTAAGTATTTATTTAGAATAGTTTTGAACATTTTGCTAAAAAGGTACTGGCATATACATGTAGCAAATTTAATTCCTGCATTGGAAATAATCGTGATTATAATATATTTATAGACCTCTTAACTGTTCTGTGTTTCATTGAATACTTGAATATATATATATACTTGAATACTTGAATATATATATATATATATATATATATATATATATATATATATATATATATCCAAAGTTTGTATATAATAATAAATTATATAATAGTCACAGTGTCCGGCAATGAATATTTAAAAAAGAAAAAAACGACAACACAAGTTGTAAAACGTTAGCGCTTTCATTCAAATTCTTCAGACGTTTTACTTTAAACATTTGACGTTAAAATGTTATGGTAATGACGTTGTCAACAATACAATGACGTCACAATGAATGTTCGGGAAACAAGCAAAAACGTGTATGTTGAACATATGAGAAATAAACATACATGTATATAAAATACAATAAACTATGCTAAACTGTTCAAAGTTGGTTTTAAAGACTTAATAAAATGTTTCTCTTTTTCTCTTCTTTCTACCATACTGTCGGTTAACAGTTTGTAAAAGGGGAACACGGTGAAATGTCCGTTACCGCATTCGTCCAGGTGTTCACTAACTTTGACCTGTCTGTACTCTGGATGTTGAATATGTTGTTTGTGGATTCGGATACGGGTACGGAGAGTAGTTCCAGTCTCGCCGATGTAAAATTGGCCACATCCTTCACACGTTATACAATATATGACGTTTTTAGAATCACAAGACATATTAGCATTAACTTTAAAATCTTTGGGCCCAATTTAAAAGGTATTTCCTTCTCTTATGTACGGTCATGTTCCACAGCGACGGTCAGGGCATTTGCTGACTGAGTGCACATTATTTTGTTGAAAATGCGAACATGTCCGTACATAAGAGAAGGAAATACCTTTAAAATTGGGCCCAAAGATTTTAAAGTTGATGCTAATATGTCTTGTGATTCTAAAAACGTGATATATTGTATAACGTGTGAAGGATGTGGCCAATTTTACATCGGCGAGACTGGAACTACTCTCCGTACCCGTATCCGAATCCACAAACAACATATTCAACATCCAGAGTACAGACAGGTCAAAGTTAGTGAACACCTGGACCAATGCAGTAACGGACATTACACCGTGTTCCCCTTTTACAAACTGTTAACCGACAGTATGGTAGAAAGAAGAGAAAAAGAGAAACATTTTATTAAGTCTTTAAAACCAACTTTGAACAGTTTAGCATAGTTTATTGTATTTTATATACATGTATGTTTATTTCTCATATGTTCAACATACACGTTTTTGCTTGTTTCCCGAACATTCATTGTGACGTCATTGTATTGTTGACAACGTCATTACCATAACATTTTAACGTCAAATGTTTAAAGTAAAACGTCTGAAGAATTTGAATGAAAGCGCTAACGTTTTACAACTTGTGTTGTCGTATTTTTCTTTTTTAATATATATATATATATATATATATATATATATATATATATATATATATATATATATATATATATATATATATAAATAAAGCACTAAAACTGACCAACGACACGAACAATAAAAATTGTCAATTTTTCGGGACGCCCTGTCCCTTCCTCAGGACAAAGAAAAAAGTTTAAAAGTCATAAGAACAAAGGAAAAAGAGAAACAAAAACAACTAGCACTACTTCTAAACTACTAAACACTAGATATTTACATACTTAATTACATGATGAATTGGAAATTTTTAAGAACACTAATAAAAAAAGAAATCCGTACCGCTATGAAATGCGTCCGGTCTATCAGGTATACTCGGGTGAAGTGCGATTTACATAATTGAACGAATTAATTATGCTAATTAATTACGACAATCAGTAAATCGTACATTGTTTCATTCTCTCAAAATGGCGAAAATTTACTTAATAAAGTTTGATCGAAGAAAAATAATATAGCAGGGATATTTAAACATATGAAATATGATCAATTATAAATTTTGAAATATTTAAGGACTTATTACCGGGAAAAAAATAATTAACAAAGGTGTAAGCAATACATAGTTATGAAAGTTGTTCGAAAGTTGGTGACGCAAATTAACTGAAGAGTTTACACTAAATTGAGAGAATAATCTTGTTTAGTATCATCAGGAATTGGGTCTAGTTTACGTTCATTCTGGTGAAGTCATTCAGTTTGTTAATATCATTAGGGCGGAATGACTTCAATCTGTGCATCCAGAATTTTTCTTTGCTTTTTCGCTGAGCATCTGTCCATCTTGGGCTATGGTCAATCACCACTACTGTCATGTCCTCCCATTTGTGACCCTCAAGGTTGAAATGTTCCCCAACGGGTTCATTGAGTTTTTTGGTCCTAATGGTCGAACGGTGGTTATTGACTCTCCTGCGGAGATCTCCTGTTTCACCAATATACTGTTTGGAGCAAACTTTGAAACTGATGAGATAAATACAGTTGTCAGTATGACAGGACAAATTCCCTAGTATTTTGTAGCTGCGGCCTGTAACAGGGCTGTTAAAACTGTCTGTGTCAGTGCTGTGCTTACAAAGAAGACATCTTCTGTCAGAGCAAGTTTTAAAGCCCCCGTTAGGTAATGGGTTGTCCAGTCTGGTTCTTACTACCATGTCCTTTAGGTTCCTTGGGCGTCTGTATGCAGCCAATGGGGGTTCCTTAAAGACCTCTGCCATTCGTTTGTTTGAATGGAGAATTGGTAGGTTCTTTTGAAGGATACCGCTAAGGTTCTTAAGGACGGGATGGTATGTGGTTACCAGAGGGACCCTGCCGCAATTGTCTTTCTCCTTGTAGCGTAATAGGTTTTGCCTGTCATGTCCCGCTATCTCATTAATAGCTGTTTGTACGGTGCGGGCATTGTAGCCTCTTTTGCATAAGTGGGACTTAAGAAGACCAATTTGCTCCTGATATAAGGCAGGGGACGAACAGATGCGTCGAATTCTGGTGGCTAGACCCTTAGGTACTCCCTTAAAAGTGTGTGGGGGATGACAGCTAGAGGGCATAAGATATAGGTGGGAGTCTGTGGGTTTGGTGTGGAGACTGAATTCGATTTCACCACCAATCAGGGTACATGTAGTATCTAGGAATACGTTTTTCGAATTAGATACGTCTACTGTAAATTTGATCGATTGATGAAAGGTGTTGGCAAACGTAATGAATGCCTCGAGGCTCTCACGACATTCCACCCACTTCATCTCTATATCGTCAATGAAACGCAACCAGCTATGGGGCCTAAATGGTGCTTGAAGTAACAAGTTGCGTTCCAGTCTGCCCATGAAGACATTGGCATAAGACGGTGCCATTTTCGTACCCAAAGCAGTGCCATTAACCTGCAGGTAATGTTCTCCATTAAACATGAAGTTGTTGAACTTGAGAACATGTTCAAGGAGCTTAGCAAGGGACTCTGTAGAAGGAATTTGTATGGATCTACTGTCCCAGACTTCTCTACAGGCTTCGATACCCTCAATTATTATCAATTACGTATGTGCCTTATACCCTCTATTAATACGCTCAGACGTATTATAGACGTGGTGTTATTATAATTAATCGGCACTTATTGGTTTACCCTCTATTTATACGCTCAGACGTATAATAGACGTGGTGTTTATTATATTATCAGCAACATCATTTATCCTCTGAGATAATTAATTCAATCTTAAACCATTAGAGTTATAAGTTATTCAAGCCGTTTCTAACAATGGCGCGACGCTTCAGGCGTCTAGATAAACAGAAGAAAAGTGTATTAAGAGCGTCTAATGCATTTGCTCATAAACAACGCATTCACAGAGCAAGCGTAATAAATGCAAAAAAAATTGTTCTTAATTTATCCTCATGTGGTCTTCAAGATAACGAATACATACTGCTAGCCAAAGGACTTAAATTCATCCCGTCACCACAAAGCAGCAATGTCAAAAGGTTTCTCCTTAAGGATTTTGACGAGTTTGCTAGAAAACTCAGATGCAAATTCTTCTTTGATACCGGGGAAAATAATAAACTTCATCGCTTCAGAACATCTGCTGGTTATAAACCCGATCAGGCATGCAGTGCTCTTGAAAATTATATTGACAAAACCAAATTAGAATTATCATCTATGCCAATAAAACAATATCGGGATAATTTAACTAACCAGGAAAGGGCGGCATTGGTCTCATTAAAAAAACAATCGCCATATTGTAATAAAAAAAAGCCGATAAAAGTAACACTGTGGTCATCATGGACAGAGAAAAATATGTCACTGAAGCTTTACGTCAACTTGAATCAAAGCACTACCTTGAAGTTGAAAAACCTGATCTGTCACATTTACGTAATATCATACAAGAAAAAGTATCTGATATGTTTATTGGCGGAGCTTTAGACAAAGAACCATATCGTTATCTAAGTGATAGCGATTCGTCTCTTAAATGCGGACATTTATACTTGCTCCCTAAAATACACAAGATCAAAGATAAAATCATGACTGCCCTTATGAACGGCACTTGCAGCCTCAGACGGCTACCACCTGGGCGACCAATTATTTCACAATGCGATACACCAACACATAGGAATGGTGCTTACTGTGATTATTTTCTAATCCCGATTGTTCAAAAACAATCGACGTACATAAAGGATACTACGGATTTCATCAATAAAATCGAAGCCTTATGCTTACCATCGCAAATCATACTGATCACTTATGATGTTACAAGTATGTAGACTAACATGGAATTTGATGAATTATTAAGCGCTGTTGAAGAGGCCTACCGAAATAACAAACGAGATTTATCAGATCTGCCTTATCCCGAGGTCTCAGATCTTCTCTTTCTTCTAAAGTGCATACTTGAAAATAATTATTTTGAGTTTAATGGAAAATATTACAAACAAATGATCGGTTGCGCAATGGGTTCAACTGTTTCCCCTGAGGTATCTGATATAAGAATGTTCCAGATAACTCATTCAATCATGGCGCAATTTCA